ACAGTGGTTCAGCAAACAGTGGCAGTAATTGAGTTCTATTCCCAGTCTTCCAAAGATTTTCCTGACTTCTGACCAATGAAATTGATGGGCCCACTTATGAGAATAACAGAACTGAGTCCGTTAAATCACAAGAAGAGAAAAATGGACTATCAGACACAGAGACCACATCAATGGGGTATTCTCCATATATGAGTGCCAAAAGCCAAGAGAACCTTCCTGTTTTATTCAACTCCCATTCTTCATGCCAAGGGCAATGTTCATGAATTAGTATTGGGTGCATTAAGAAGATTGAAAAATACCGAGAAAGCTATTTTTACCTATGAAGTCCAGGTTTCTAAAGGTTTCCATCATCACATCCCTGTAGAGTTTCTTCTGAGCATCATTCAGCAAAGCCCAGTCTTCCTGGCTGAAAAGAATGACCACGTCCTGGAGGAGCAAGGGTTCCTAAAACACACAACAGATTCTGGGATCAGCAAGGTTCCATGGTCACCAACAGGCACAAGAATAAATTATGAGCCTGAGAGACCTCACAACTGAGAAATCACAGTGACAGGACAAAAGGTATGGTTTCTACCAAGATCTATGTAAAAAAAAATCAGCCTTCAATCTTGTTTCTTTTTTTTTAATTTTTTTTTATTATTATTAAATTTTATTAGTTTCAATGAACATTCACAGGGATTCTGGGCTTTCACTCCTTCGTTGCCGCACCATTCTCTCCACCCTCCTCCCCAGTTTGTTCTTCTTCCCCCGCCATCCGAATGTCTGTTTTAATTGTCCAATTGCCACAGTGCTTGTCAAAGTCAGTTCTGATTAATCTTCTTTGTCGGTGTGTCCTTTGCCATTCCCTATCACTCCTCCCTGAGAGAGACTTCACCCTGAGTCATAAGGAAAAGGGGATGGCGTATTCTCTTAGCTACTTCCTGCTGAAAAGGGACGCTGTGGGTTTCAGGGTGAAGATCTTCTCTCACTACTCTAAAGGGCCCCTTTGGCAGTAGGAAACACATAGACTATTATGGAGATTGATTTTGGAATTTAGATGCACTCTTATTGATTGTGCTTGGCCGTACATGTTTATATCCTTGAAGATGTATCATGGGGGTGTTGCAACCTTTCTCCTGCCAGGTAATCTTGTTTCTTCACATTGTAAATTCTCTTCATGATTAAATCCTGTCCCTCAGATAGACGACATACTGAAAGAACTTGTTTCTGAGTGTCTAAGGTTTGTTATTCAAATGTCTTTCCTAGTCAACAATTGTTTTCTGCTTAAGTATTTGTTGTAGGAAGAAGACAGCATTCAGATAGGACACTACTCCCACCCTGATACAGGCTGATGGAAGCTCCTGAGACCCCAGTGCTAGTCTATCAGTCTTGGAAGGCTTGCTTGCCTTGGACACAATATTCAAGTGCATCCAGTGTGGCCCACTGCTCACAATATCTGTACTAGCAGCCTTCATCTCTCCAGTCAAGTGAGTTATTCCTCAGACAGGTCTGGTCTCTGGGAGACCTTCCAGCAGACGACTGAACCCAACAGACAGAGAGTAGTTAGGGAAAAGGAAAAGTTGCTGATGTTGGAAATCATGAACTTATGCAGCAAGACAAACGTTTGGACAACACTGTCTCAATGCCATTAATCTTAAGAGAAATTATGAAAACTACTGGCGTCTGGATAGTGGAATATGCAACAAAGGTCCAGAAGCGTTTTAACATGTGTCTCTGGGGGAAAAGCGGGAAACAGAATAACAAGAAACTTTAGGTAATGCAGCTACTATGCTATAGTCAGTCTCTGAAAGCAAAATTTACTTGGCACTATGAAAGTAGTGGACAGAACTCCTAAGAAGCTGGTCGTTGTGATAAAGGCAGAATATGCAAGTGAAAAGAATGTAGAAACTGAGACAGCCAGAACCGGAACTGAACCAAAGCCTCTCCCAGGTCACAGTTTAATCTCAGGATTTACAGTGAAAGAACCAAGCGTGTGGAAATGAACAGAAAAACCTCTCTAACTTGTGGTCACAAAAAGTCACTCCAGGAGGCAGATGGGCAGGATTAAGAAATTACTGGAACCAGGAGATAGGGCACAGTGGAAATATATAAGTGTGTAGATCATTATAAGCGACCTCCTCAGGAACCAGCACTAAAATGGGTGGAAAAGTGAAAGTTTGTAGCAGCATCGGAGTTTCTGTGTGCTGAAGAAAGGAGGAACACACGTGGCTTAAGGTCAGACCCAACATTATTAACACAACAGGGCCCAAGGACACTGGAAATTGCAGTCACACAACACATGATCCCAGAGGGGTGATGAACTTGATAAGAGTGGATCAGAGGGGAGCTCTGGTGGCCTAGTGGTTAAGGAGCTGCAACTAACTGAAACAGAGGAGGGAGAGAACTGTGTAAAAGAGATATATGACTGGGTACTTCTGTCATCACAGGAGTCTAGAGCGAGGGCTGCATGGTGGAAGGGACCTGGGGGAGGGTTTGTAAAACAATGAAAGAATCTTTTCTTTTACTTTTCCATA